CCCAGGGTTGCCGAAGTGGAACGTGCACGCTTAACCACTGAGCCACCGGGCCGGCCCCTCAAAGGGCTAGTCTTCATTCTATCCATTTTATGCAGTACATATATATTCTACTGAGGTCACATTCATTGCTTACTAGGAGCCAGTCCCCACGTGAAGTGCTTTACTCAGATTTGCTCCCTTATTCCTCATGACAAGCCTAGAAGTCTGGTACTATACAATTTTTTTTAAGTTTTTATGATGAAAATTCCTCATCATACAAAAATCAGCCAGCACAACAAACCCCCAGCAACTAGCTTCAACAACCATCACCTCCTTGTCATATTTGATCATCTTTCCTCATCCTCTTTTTTTTTTTGCTGGAATATTTAAAAATAAATTCCAGACAGAATATAAAATTATCCTTAACTACTTCAGAATGCATCTCAAAAATGGTCATTTTCTTACTGAATTTTAGTGCCATTGTCACACCTACCAAAATTAATAAGAATTCCTTGATGTCGTCTAATAACCCATCTGTATTCAAATGTCACTGGTTATCTTAAATTTTTTTTTTTCTTTTTGGTGAGGAAGATTGGCCCTGACCTAACATCTGTTTCCAATCTTCCTCTTTTTGCTTGAGGAAAATTGTCACTGAGCTAACATCTGTGCCAATCTTCCTCTTTTGTATGTGGGACACCATCACAGCATGGCTTGATGAGCAATGGGTAGGTCTGCACCCAGATTCTGAACCCGCGAACCCTGGGCTACCGAAATGGAGCATGCGAACTTAACCACTATGCCACCAGGCCGGCCCCTGTATTTTGTTTTACATTTGAATCAGGAGATAGGCATTATGATTCCCATTTTACAGATGAGGAAACTGTGGCTCAGAGAGGTTGAGGGATTTGTCCAAGGGCACACAGCTAGAAAAGAGCACACATGAAAATGGTTATAAACTGTAAGGTGCTGTGTGGAGGGCAATCACTATCTTCTGGCAAATAACCCTGTTCAAAGCCCTTCTCCCTGAATTTGTGCAGGAATCCTGAACTGCTTCTTCTTAGGAAGCTGTGGGTGAACATCCTTCCATGGTTGCTCAGGATGCCTTCTCCCTGAAGGCCCCAGGCTGGGCAGTGGGGGAGCAGGTGCCCACTCACCCCAGGGGAGTGGATTACCTCGTACGTGCTGGGGGTAGGGTGCCTGGCTGTCCCCCTAGCCTTCGCTTCAGGGTCTGCAGCTGCCTGAGGGCGCCGGCGTGGCTCTGGCCCTGGGGGAAGCCCTGGGGCCCCACCAGCAGCAGTGCCTGCTCCAGGTGCTCCAGCTGAAGGTAGAGACACTGCCTGTAGGCGCTGTCCTTCCAGGGGTCACTTGCACCCACCGTGGGCATTGGGCATTGCTCTATTTCTGGAGGACAGGGGACAGAGAGCATCAGCTGGTGCTGAGTGGCCAAGCAGACCACCTGCGAGAAAAACACCAGTATTAGGAACAGCATTCTCTTTCGAGTACTTTCTATGTGCCAAGCCATGAGAAATCTGAGATGTGGAAAGATGGGGTGCCAGGCTCACACGGCCAGGTGGGCTCTGAATGTACGGAGGGCATCCTCAAAATTTCCTTACACGCAAAGAGAAGAGAATGATATACCTGTCACTCTGCTGCGCCAGTTACCAACATTCTGCCAATCTTGTATCATCTCTGCCCCCTAACTTTTTTTTTCTGGAGTACCTTCAAGCAAATCCCAGACATACTATTCTCTCATCGGCAAATATTTTAATATGTACAAGATTCGAATTTGAACCCAGGTTTGCCTGGTGCCAAAGCTAGTGTAAGTTTTAACCTTTTGTTTTTAACTTTGTTTTAGGAAAAATTTCATACCTGCAAATGGGAATGATGAGAGGAACCCGCATAGACCCATTGTTCAAAATTAGCAACACGTGGCCAGTCGTGTGTCACCTGCACCCCACCCACTCTCTCCATGGCGTTATTTTGAAGCAAATTCCAAACCTTCTGTCACTAAATATTGTAATATGCTTCTTAGAAGATAAAGACTCTTTTTAAAAACAAACCCCTTGATGTCATTATCAATCTTCAAAAGGATTAACAGTAATCCCTTAATAGCATGGAATAACCAGTCAGAGGTCAAGTTTCCCCAGATTATCTTGTGATTGTTTTTCTACAGTTGGTTTGTTCAGATTTCAGCTTCCTAATTTTTTTTTTAAAAAAACAGTATTTTTTGTTTTAATTACAGAGGTGATGCATATTCATTGCAAGAAAAAAGCAAATTCAAACCTTTCCAGTGTTCCTCGTGCCTCCTAAGGGAAAATTGGCCTCTCCAGGCAGAACCAGGCCTGGTCTCTGGGCCCTGAGCTGGGAGGCTGGCCCCTCTAGGGGCACATTCTCCTCAGGCTGTAACGGGTTGGGTCTGTGTTTTCTTTTGTTTTGTTTTGTTTTTGAGGAAGATTGGCCCTGAGCTGACATCTGTGCCCATCTTCCTCCACTTTATATGTGGGACGCCTGCCACAGCATGGCTTGCCAAGTGGTGCGTAGGTCTGCACCTGGGATCTGAACTGGCGAACCCTGGGCTGCCAAAGCAGAACATGCGAACTTAACCGCTGCACCACTGAGCCGGCCCCCCGGGTCGGGTCTGGACCAGTGTTCATCTTCACGGGGGTACGTGAAGCTGGATATGGGAGATGACAAAATGGAGTGCCCCTGCCCCATAATCCTTCCCCAGTCTCCAGGGAGAAGCTGATGAGAAAATAATGCAGAGCTGTGAAGAAGGCCGTGGCCAGCTCAGACTAGACCAGGATGCTGGCAAAGGCCTAGGGCGAACCCGCCTCCCTCTGACTCAGCCTCCTCCCTCGCTGAAGCCTCGGCTAAAGGTTCCAGCATCAGCAGCCTTTGTGCTGCAAGCTCCTGGCAACGTTTCCGAAGATCCCACCACTCCCAATCCTAACACCACTTACTGAATACCCGCTTTGTGTCAGGCTGGGCGCTAAGCGTTTCACGTGTCTTATGATCTCACTTGGTCCTTGCAACAAGCCAAGGAGCTCGGTGGGTCAATACTTCCATTTTATAGGGGAGGAAATGAAGTCTCGGAGAGGTTGAGCAACTTGACCAAAGTTGCACAGCTGCTATTGCAGCTAGGAGAGCCCCAGGGTCTGGCTAACTCCGGAGTCCATGTTCTAAGGCACATGCTGTGAATGCCACAGTCCCAGAACTCAGGGCTAAGTGTCCAGCGCAGGCATCAACAGAGCTCCTGCAGGGCTGGCCTTCCTGGGCAGCCCAGGCCCAGCTTTCTGGAGCAAATCCTCCAGGGTGGCTGGAGCCCTGAGACCTTGCCTTGAGGGCGAACCCTCAGGGTGCATTCTCAACCTTCAGTGCGCATAAGCCACCAAAGCGACTGAGTAAAAATGCAGGCTCCTGGCCTCCCCGTAGAAGATTTAATTCACTATATCAGAGACGGGACCAAGAATTATGGATTCGAATGCCTCATGCTATAGACCCCACTTTTGTGTTCTAAACAAGGTTTAGATAGTAACCAGCCTTCTGTGTTAAAATTGGCAGCATTCTTAACCCACGCCATCCAAAATGTCAGCCACTAGCTCCATGTGGCTGTCTAAATTAAAATTAGTTAAAATTAAAAGAGCCCCATTTCAAGTGCTGAAGAGCTGCGTGTTGCCAGTGGCCGCCATATTGGACAGCGCAGATGACAAACATTCTAGTCACTGTAGGAGCTTCTATTGCACGGCCTGGTCTAAACACTGGTAGCAGTGATAGGGTGGAAGATGGATGGGAAAGGCGCAAGAGGGGAGTCAGAGAGACTGTTTCAAACCAGAATAATGCCACACATAGAACTTAATAAAAATGAGACAATGTTACTAGATTTTCTGGCTGAATATTGTTTCAAAAGGCTCTGAGTTTGAGGCCCACCATCTGTCTGCCAGAGAGATTGACAAGTGTTGGAGAGGTGTTAAAGACACAGCAGTACCACAATGAGACTTTCTCCTTGACTTAGTTAGAAGAATTAGAAGAGAATGGAGAAAGGAGCCACTCCTTCACTCTGGGACTCAGTGTTCTTTACTGCCCTGTCCATCGTCTTGCGTCGTGCCCTACACATGTGGAAAGTGATCTAGTTTGACTTTGCATCCCCCGACACTTTACAGAAAAAGAAACTGAGGCAGAGAGAACTGAAGTAACCAAGGTCACACAGCCCATCAATGGCCGGGCCAGTACCCAGAGGTGGTCCTTCCGAGTGGCCCCAGTTATCAGGCTAGCCAATGCTCTTCTTCCCACCTATGGAAGAGCAACATGCCTTTTTGCTTTGTGCATTCCGTAATGACCTCCCATGCCGAGGTCATCCCACGCGTGTTTGTGGCATGCTTTCTCTGTGTTGCGCGGGCCAGGCACTGGCGAAACAGTGGAGATAAGACGGTCAGATGGCTCCCACCTCATGGAGCTCACGCTCCAGGAAGGACCGTGCAGACTTTAAACAACTCTGCACGCACTTCATGATTTGGGAGCCAGCAGTGTGAAAGCAAAGAAAGAGAAGCCCAGGGGCTAAAGATCGTGTGGCTGGAGACCTGCTATGGGCTGGGGTCTTGGGTTGCTCCCTTGAGGAAGGAATCCTTCAGCCAAGACTCAAGACTGAGTACGAATTGGCCAAGCTAAGAGAGAGAACATTCTAGATTAAAGGGCCAGCATGTGGGAAGGCCTTTCGTGGGCAGGCAGGTTGGTCCTCTGAGGAGAGGAGGGTGCCTGTGGTACAGAGAGGGTGGCAGTGGCGAGTGGTTGGAGCAGAGGCTGGTGAGGGAGACCCCAGCAGGACTTCTTAACCTCCTAGTGATACAGACGTGGCCCTTGGTCCTGTCCCGCCTGACTCCAACATGCTCTTCTCTCAGCAGAGAAACGTCAGGACTCACCTTTCACTTGGACAGACCCAAGAGTGAGTGTTAAGGGATCCTCTCTCTGTTTGGATTCTCCCCAGAACACCTGCCCTGCGGTGTTCTGCAGACAGACGACGTCTTCCAGCAAAGCCAGCAGTTGGTTGATGTCCATCAAGTTCGTGGAGTCCCAGCCTGAGGCAGGGGACGGCAGCTTCAGAGCTTCAAACAGGGAGCTGACGAGCCTCCTTGTATCCTGCAAGTCAGCCCAGGTGGGTAAGGCGATGAGAGCTACGGGTCAGGGGGGCAGGGGAGCAGCATGGCGGTCAAGAGCATTCAGGCTGGGGTCAGACAGTCTGGGTGTGGTAACAGCGGTGCCCGCTAGACATGACATTGGACCTCCCTGAGCTTCTCTTTTGTCTCCTATAGAACCCCTCTTCTAGGATGTAAACTGATGCATTCCAGGCTGTAGTCCTCAAAATGCAGCACATAGTAGGTACTCAAGAAAATGCTTAGTGAGTGCATGAATGCAGAGGGAGTCCCTTCTATGGGCTTCCAGCCAGGTATCTATAATGAAGGTGTAATATTTTGCACATAGTAAGTACTCAAAAAGTGTGTGTGGTGCGTATGTGTGTATATGTATGAGTTTGTATATGTGTGTCTCTGTGAGCATGTGTGTGTGATAGTGTCTATGTGTATTAGTGGTATATGTGCACATGCATACATGTATGTGCACGAACATGTGTGTACATGTATGTGTTTATGTCTACGTATATGTGTGAATGTGTACATGTGAGTAGATGTGTTCATGTGTGTGCCTATGCATACCTGTGTGGATGTGCACTTGTGTATGTGTAGGTACACATGTGTACACATGCCTGTGTGTGTGTGTGTGTGTGTGGTGTTTGTAGATGTGTGTGTACGTGTGTGCATGCAGTTGGTGAATCTTGACAACTGACGCTGTCGACAGCATAGGGTTGCCAGGCCCCAAGCCAGGTCCCCACTCCCAGTTCGGCCCAGGCTAGAGCATCCCCACACCACCGAGGTTGAGGACGTGCCTTGGTCACTGCTTCAGGCGTCAGAAGGCCATCCTCCACAGGCTGTGGTGAGGGGGCCAGGCTGGGCGACCCCCGGTGCCATTTCCCAGTATCCGGCTCCTTAGTGACCCGAGGACGGGTGTTTCGAAAGATCTGAACGATCAGGAGGTTGATGGGGAACATGAGCAGCGAGCTCTCCAGCCCGATCATCACTTCCTGCCACGTGAATTCAATTTTACCTGGGGCAGAGGGAGGGAAAGGGTCAGTGGGAGTCCCCTAGGCCCTTCCAGAAGGCGGCTGTGCAGTAAGGATTCACCTTGCACAAAGGGAGGTCTGGCCCTCGAGTGGCTCCTGGGAGGTGACCTCTAAGCCCTCGGGATGTCCTACCTGATAGGTACGCCTTTGTCTACCTGCGGTCTTGGCTCACACCACATAGTCTATGCTAACAACGTGGTTTATGGTGGGGACCTTGGCCACACGGTATCACCTTGGCCTCTGGAGGGGCTGGGGGCCGAGGTCAGCCATGCAGGGGGTCAGCCATTTCTATGTGACTGAGCACCAATCAAAACTCTGACACCAAGGCTCAGGTGTCCCTGGTTGGCCGTACTCCACATATGTTGTCACACATCCTTGTCAGGAGAAGTTAGTGCTGTCCACAACTCCATTGGGAGGGGACAACTGGAAACTCTGTGCCTGGTCTCCCCTGGCCCCTCCCCCATAGGCCTCTTCCCTTCCCTGATTTTAATCTGTACCCCGTCTCTGTAATAAGTATAAGTATAATAGCATTTCTGACTTCTCTGAGTCCTTCTAGAGAGTTATTGAACCTGAGGGTGGTCTTGGGACCTCTGGAATTGCAGTGGTATTGCTGAGGCAGTGATGGCCAATGTCCACCAGCCACTCGTTCTGACCGCCACGCCAGAGGAAGTTACCCAAGTCCATCTTTTGCTCAGATGGGTCCTTGGGGACACCCCAGAACATGATGCTGGTCAGCATGGTGCAGAGGAGCAGGGAGAAGCAGCAGGACACCCTCTGGACACGCGTGAAGTTGCTGCGAGCTGCGCAGCTGAAGATGGAGTACCAAATGTGGCCATCCCGGAAGCCCGCGGAGGTCTTCACGAAGAACAGGTGGCTGCGGACAGGGAGGGAGGGGCAGGCGTTTAGGGAGACGGCAATGGGGAGAGCCTGGTCTCGTTGGAGCAATCCTGCGGTGACAGGGGAGGATTTGTTTCTAAGATTTATCACCTACTTTCTCTGTTATAGAAGAAATACAGCATCATAACAGCATCACTTAGAGTTAACGATGGGGGCTCTGGACAGAGTGGGTTGGAATCCTAGACTGCCCTCCTACTAGCTGGGTGGCCTCAGACAAGTTACTTTACTCTGTGCCTCAGTTTACTTGTCTGTAAAATGAGGATCATAAAACCTGCCTCACTGGATTGTTGAAAGGATTAAAAGTGATCCTTTTTGTAAAGCGTCTGGCAAAGTAGCTGGCTTATGGTCAGTGTTCATCAGTGTTAGCAATTGTTATTTTTGTTATAATTTTAATATAGTAGTATAACTATAATATTATTCATTTTGTTATAATTAGAACATTAGACTAGAGTGGTTAAAAATCACAGGCTCTGGGTTCAGACTCAATTTGAGAGAATAAAAATTGCAAGACAATGGGGGCTGGCCTGGTGGCATAGTGGTTAAGTGCGTGTGCTCTGCTTTGGTGACCTGGGTTTCACAGGTTCGGATCCCAGACACAGACCTATACACCGCTCATCGAGCCATGCTGTGGCGGTGTCCCACATACAAAAAACACAGGAGAGTTGGCACAGATGTTAGCTCGGGGCCAATCTTCCTCACACACACACTCACAAAATTGCAAGACAAGTTCTCTGAAAATAGCACCACGTTCCCCTCAAGAACCTGTTGTATTTCTCTGAGTTGAATATAGTTTAACCACAAAAGCTATTCAGGGGCCCAGATTCTTGTGAGAGGGTCAGAACTGCGAGTCCTGGCTGGCGCCTGTTCTGATTGGTCAATGCCAGCACCCTCCAGGGTTGTTTGTACTTTGGCTGTCGCTCTGGGGTGTGTGGGTGGCCTGGTCTTAGAGGAAAGCTACATAAAGAGAGAGGTCAGTTGCCGCCAACAGTGACTGACCACGTGATCATTCTACTCATTCAACAAATATGTGTGGAGCCTGCCATGTGCCAGGAGCTCTGCGGGCACCCGGGACTCATGGGAAGAATGACACGGTCCTGCCTGCAGAGGCTCCTTGTCTAGTTTCCAGGCATCCCACGTTTTGATGCAACTGAAGGATAATATCTGCTCCTGTAGCTGAGCACTTACTCTGAGCCACTCGCTGTGTTAACCATGTTACCTACATCGTTCCGTGGGACCTTCCCAGGTCCCCTTTGGGGTGGGCAATTTGAACAACTCATTTTTCAGAGGTGGAAGCTGAGACCTGGAGAGATAAGGTAACTTATCCAGGGTCATGCAGCAAGTCAGCAGCAGGCATGTGAGACACTGTGATCCAGGCCCATGTCTGTGTTATACCTCTCTTGGGGTCCAAGTCTCTCTGATTCAGACTTTTTCCCTCTTGGAGACTGAGCTGCTCCCAGTAGCAGCTGGGAGGAAAAGTCAGCTTTCAGTAAATGCACTGGAAACAGACTTTTTTTTAAACCCAACTCAGAAGGCATTTAAAGTAGAGGTCATAAAGTCAAATGCTTAAAGAGACCCAGGTGGATGTAAATAAGTCAAATAAATGAGTGAAGTAGGTTGGGGATAAGGTAATAGGGAGTGTTGAGGAGTGTGGCAAACTGAGAGCACATGACCCGTATAAGAGGAAAGCTGGTAATCAGCTCCAGCAGATTGGTGGCATGCAGGAATGCTGGTCCAACATTTCCATACTTATAGGTTTTTTGTGAAGTCTCCTGATTTTTTAATATTGGTTGGAAAGAGATTTAATGCCCAATGATAGGAGAATAGTTGAAATACCTGTGGGATATCCATTCTATGGAATATGATGCAGCCAATAAGGAAAAGTTTGATCCAAACATACTCTCCTGGAAGGATGTTGTGATATATCATTAAAGGAAAAAAGCAACATATTTAGAGCAACGTGCCATTTTAAAAGATGTAGAATAAACAACAATCTATGGTGTTGTGTGTGTGTGCGGGTGCACATGTGTGTACATTTCTATCTGCTTTTCTGTGTTTGGAGACAGATGTGCAAGGATGTGAGTAAAGCAAAAGAAAACACATGCTGAAAGATGCGTGTGGGGTAAAACTCATGCAGAAGCAGCCCCAATGGCCAGACAGTGAACCGCTGCTCAATTCAGCCTGCTCGCTCATGTAAAAAATACTATTCTGTGACATTAGTAAGGAAATGTGGATGACTGTTCCAAACATTTCACCATCTTGAAGGTAATTATGTCTTGGAGGGTCCATGTCGCTCCAGGGCCCCTCATTTCCAACAAGAAAAACTGACTGGTCGTTAATGTCACACTTAAAGCTACCCAGACCTGCTAGATCAAATGTGCTTTTATTTGGCTGCAAATTATTATTATGGTGCAACTTCCCTAGAGATGAAAGACCAAAATAAAAGAGCATTTGCTTAAAAGGAAAACAAAAGTACCTGAATTGTTTCCTGTCCTGCTCCGTGGCCACCGGAAATACCTTGTCGAGGACACAGTCTCCAACATCGATGGACAGCCATGAGTTGCAGAGGAAATACCACTTCCGGTCCATTGCCAGGTCATGCACCAGCACCCGGCTCACATACCTGCAGAAGGGACGGACCCACGCTTCTGAGGACAAGGTCGGGGGACGAGACTTCTTTGGGCACCACAAAGGTAACACCTTTGCAAACCTCAGCCCCAAACAAGAGCTCCTGGAAAGAGAGACTGTATTTTTCTTCATTGTTCTTGGTGCCTTGATCAAAATGCCCCAATCACTGGTGAATTTGGCCTCATGTGGGGAGTTCAGCTGGTGTGGAGAGCCAGCTCTTGGAGGCCGCCACATTTCGCAGACGTGCTGCAAGACGGTGCATTCGGAGGCTGTTAACCCCGACGCAGGCAGCAAGCCCAGGGCCCGCATCCAGACACTAGTGAGGAAAGCCAAATTGTCTACACTGTGTGTGTCCAGGGAAGCACAGGCTTTTAAGTACACAAACCCCGGTCCTTCCGCGGGCTTCCACCCAGAGAATGAGCCTACCATCCGTCTTGGACTCAGGACTTCTTGGATATCATCTAACTTGATTTAGGTCTTCGAGGCCTGGGGAAGTAATAAAATCATCTTGCCTCTGCTGGGAAGTCAGATCCAGTAGCAGCCGTTTTCCCTGTTGCTTTACAGCTGATGAGAATAGTAGTGACATCAATAGCCACTCTTTAGTGAGCATTTACTGCATAATGAGGACATGCATTTTCTCATTTCCGGGAGGACGGCCCCACAAGGCATGCAAGAGCAATATCTGTTGAGGTCACACACCCTCCTAGGGAGGCCGACATCCAGTGACCCACTGGTGCAGGGCCTGGGTGTGATCAAGACCTGGGCATCTCCGTCCAGCATGGGAAAGCCCCGGGGCCCCCAAGGGTCAGCCAAGCTGTTGTGCTGTGTCGAAGCTCTTCTCCTTCTGCCCATCCTGTTTCCTTCCCTCCCTTCCTCGCTGATCCCAGGCACTCCTTGAGGAACCCCCTGCATGCTCATCTCCATCTCAGAGTCCAAACTACAGCACTTAAAGTGTTCATGTTTAATCCCTTGGGTCAATCAAAGACGGCAACAGAAATGCAGTGTTTTTCTAAAGCTACCAGCCATTGATGGGCAGTCAGGCTGGAACCCACTCCTCTGAGTCACTAGTTTTGGCCTCAGACTTCTAGAATAGGGACGGGTCTTGGCTCTGAGCTTGCCAGCTGTGTGACTTTGGGCAAGTCACTTATCCTCCCTGGGCTTGGATTTTCCCACCGTAAAAGGAGGATGGTAACAGTCCTTGTCCCTGAGGGTCGTTGTGAGGATCCAGTGAGAAAAGGCACAGAGAGGTCTAGCTTAGTGCTCAGCAGTGGCAGCTGTTCTTGCCTCTTCTACTGGAGAATCAGTTCAAAGTCTCGTTAGTCTCCTCTCATTGGGCGGGGTATGTCTTCACAATAGGCATCTATCCCCATGTTACAGATGGGGAAACTAGGGGCTAAATGATAGGTTGATGCTGCAACAGTGCCAAGGGTGGGGATCGCACTGGACCCCAAGGCTGCAACTTCCTGTCCTTCTCCTAACCACTGATTCAATCTGTGGACTGGGGGCCTCTCTGACCCTCAGTTTCCTTATCTGTGAAATGCAGATTCAGTCTTGTAGAGGCTCAGGAGGATCAGCAAGGCAACAAATACGGAGTGCCCAGCCCTGGGCCTGACACATAGTAGGTCCTTGTGGTCTGCTCACCCCTAACTTACCAGGAGGGCTGGTCCCCTGAATTGTCATGCCACAGCCGCAGGCTCCTCAGTTCCCCCAGGGGGAACAGGGTGGAGAGTAAGAAGGCATCCACTCCTCCTCGCTCAAAAACAGGGATGTCGGGGTCTGACAGGTGGTGGGGCTCACTCTCTCCCTCCAGGCCATATAGCGTGACAGTCACCTGAAATATGGAGATCAGGAGTGGCTAAATCCAGGTGGTGATTGAGCCCCACTGGCCATGTTTCATTTTAAGTGTCCAAAAACCAATGAAAACCCATGAAGCATAGCCATTTCACTCTCTCTTCTCCTCCCCTCTCCTCTCCTCCCATCGTGGGCCTGCCTGAGTTATTTTTCAGTTGTATGAAGATTTGGGGTGACACTCTCTGCATTTATGTCTTCAAGATGAGTTATAAAATGCTCCCTGGTGACCTTTTCAAACTTCTCATACATTATTCGTAAGGACTGTAGGGCAGGAACTGGTTTCCTCCCTAACAATGACATTCCCAGTGCCTTCCAGAGTGGCCGGCACTGAGACATGAATGAATGAGTGCCTGCTACATTGAAAATACATCTTCCTAGGCCCAACTCCAGACCTGTCAAGTAAGAATATTGAGGACAGAGCCCAGGAATCTGTGTTTTTCTGAAGCTATCCAGGTGATGCTGATGGGCATGCCTGGTTTCCTGAGTCAAAACCAGCCATAGCAGATATCACTATGCTCCACCGACATCCCTCAGCCTCACCATTGCAGCACTCCCTGCACCCACATCCAACTGCTGGCAGCTGTGTGTCTCCCTGGGGGTTTCTCTGGCTGTTAGAGGAGCAGGCTGGAAGTGCGGAGAATTAATGGCCCCTCCAAACCATCCTCCACCAGTGACTGGTGGGATTGGTGGATAAACATCCCAGCTCCCTCAGCCCTCGGCTGGGATGACTTTGAGGCCCACATTCCTTAATAGATTCCAGAGTTCCCCAGTGGGATTAGCCTGCAGTTGCTCACAGGGATAACCAGTTTGATAGGACACCCTTCATTGGTTCCTTCTCTTCCCTGTCTGGCTTCCCACTCCCCTACTGGGGTGTCCTGGGATCCCCTCTCAAATCAACTACTTGTGCTGGAACCTTTGTTTCAGAGTCTGCCTCTACAGGGTTTCTCTAGTGTAGACATTCTGGGCCTGATAATTCCTTGTTCTGGGGACTGTCCTGTGCACTGTAGGATGTTCAGCAGCATCCCTGGCCTCTGCCTTCCACATCCTAGTATCATCTCCCCTCTCCCAAGTTGTGACAACCCAAAACATTGCCAACTGTCCCTGGGGTGAGCGACATCACCCCCAGTTGAGAACCACTGTGCTAGGAGAACCCAAACCAAGACAATATCATATTGAAATGTGACCACAACTCTCCACAAAGAGAAATGGCCTGTGGATCACAGGTTTTCACTTCCTTTCTTCAGTGTCAAATGGAAGTGAGATGAATGTTTCATTAGATGGATAAAAGTGATTCTTACATTTATTCAACAAATAGTTACTGAGCACCTACTCTGTGTTAGACAGCTGGTCGAGGACCTAAGACATAGCAATAAATGAAAATGAAACAATTTAAAAAATAAAAATAAAACCAATGTATACATAAATGGAAATAATAAGATTTAAAAAATAAAAAGTAAACAGACAAATGCCCTGCTCTAATGAAGCCTAATGTCATTTTTTTTTTTTTTTAAATGGAGCTTTCTCCAGGACAGTACACACAGTGCCAGCGGTTCTCAAACTGTGTTCCACGGAGCCCTCGGTTTCAGTAAGGGAACCTTGGAGGCCGCTGCAGGGGATGATATATTCCAATGAGGGATCTGGGACAGGCCGGACTTAACTAAGGCTCTGAGACGTTACAGAGACAAGCTGCTGTATGCTCCAGAGCTAAACGCTCAAGGATTTCTGGGAATCCACAGACAACTGAAATAGTTTCTTCACTGCCTCTAGTCAGCCTGCTCAAGGACAAACAGCTCAGTAGCTAGATGCCAGCTAATCAGTTTACCTAATAAATGTAATTTAAGACGCATTGTTTCCTAATGGTGGACATTTTTCTTTCTTTCCATTTGCCCCTCTCTTATAAATTCTGGTTTCTCTGTATTCACTGACAACAGTCTCCTGACTGCTTTTCATTCGTGAGCACATCTGCACGCAGGTGACCAACTGACTGTGTGAGTTGTTCTTTGATAGGATAAGGAGGATGGCCAGTGGCACAGCACTAGACCCCAACTCTCCCCTCACCCACTCCTCCATCTTTTTAAATCCTGGGTCTTAGGGTGTTCTTTTGAGAAAAAGATTCTTTCCCCTAAAAAATAAAAACCCAAAGAGAAGAAATCCTACAACACAAACTCCGCTGTGCTCAAGTGACAGTGGACTGGCAAGTGCCTTGCTGGGTGGGACGTGCTGACTGAGGGGTCTTGCATGGGCAGGTACCTGTGAGGAAGTGGCTGCCCCTCTCCGGTGTCCGGTGTAGACTGTCACCAGGTAGTGGTACTGGGCAAAGGGGTCATTGTCCTCCAGCACTGTGACCTTCACCTGGATAGAAGGATGGCGTGAGGGTTAAAGGGTGAACTCACAGGCTTGGGTTGTCCAAACCCTGCACATTCCAAAGAAAGGACTGGCTCGTGGCCAGCTCCTGAAAGATGACCTCTAAGTCATTGTGATATCCCACATGATAAGAGTGTTTTGAATACTCGGGGCCTGGGGCCCCACCCGATAGTCTATGCTGACAGTGTGACTTATGGTGAGGGCTTCCGGCCATGCTGTATCAGTTGGATCTCTGGGTGGGAGAGGAGTGTTGCTGGAGACTGAGTAACTAAAGTCAGTCATATGGGCACTCCATACCTATGCGACTAGCCCCTAATTAAACCCTGGACACCAAAGCTCGAGTGAGCTTCCCGTGTTGGCAGTACTTTGTACATATTGTCACACGTCATTGCTACGATTAAGTCTGCCTGCCTGACTCCACTGGGATCGTATATCTGGAAGCTGTCGCCCGATCTCATGGGCCTTTCCATTTGCTGATTCTAATCTGCACCCTTTCACTGTCATAAACCATAATCACGAGTACAACAGCTTTTCTGAGTTCTGTGAGTGCTCCTAGCAAATCATTGAACTCAAGGGTGGTCTGGGAACCCTCAAACAGTACCTTCCTCTTAGGGCTATTGTGAGCATTAAATAGGGTAATCCCTGCAGTAAATCCTCCATAAACGGTCCGTATCATAATCCTCCTGATAATTTGATGAAAAAGGACATTTTACAGATAAAGAGGCTGAAGGGCTGGCTTGCATGGGATGACCCCAGCGGTCAAGGCCTGGATTCGCAGCTGGCCTCTCCGCTCCCCACCTGGGCTCCATCTCCTGGAGCTCCTTCAAGGAGACAGCCCTGCTCCTCCCTCCCATTCCCAGGGCCCATGCACCCTCACCTTGGCCTGATCCTGAGCATCCTTCCTCCTTGCCCAGCTCACCACCAGCACGTAGACCACGCAGAGGCAGCCCACAGTGGTCACAACCACGGGATTGTCCTCAAAGGTGGCAAAGAGCTCAGCGGTCTGGCGGACATCGACGGCATTGGGCATCACCAGGAACGCGCTTCCAAAGAAGGTGAGGTGGTTGCAGAGGCAGTGTGTCTGGGAGGGGGTGGTCTGTGGCCCCACCTGCAACCCCAAAGAGGCCCCAGTGGAAATGCGAGGACATCCCTGGCTGGCTCGAGCCCAAGGGAGCACAATGAGGGATGGACGTTGTCCTGGGGAGGGCCTGGGAAGGCTACTGAGACACCAGCTTCAAGATTCCTCTTGGGCTTTTTTATTTAACTAAAAATTAATTTTAAAATGCAGGGAATATTATCTATAACAAGCATCTTGGCATCTATCACTCTCAGCAGGCAACTGTCCATCTCGTCAGTCCGCTTTGTCTTTTCTAAGAGGCATTGTGGGTAAAGCTGGAGGCTCCTCTGTCCCCCACCCTCCATAAGCAGCCTTATCACAACTTCACTGGGCATCATTCCAGCACCTTCTCCCACCTGATGCTCGTTCATTGGACAGATACGTGTTGAGGGCTCATTCTAGGCCAGGCAAGGGACTGGGTGCTGAGAAGACCTCTTGGTGACCAACTCGTCTCATTTTTGCAGGGACTTTCCTGCTTTTAAAACTGAAATTCCTGAGTCCTGGGGGCCCCCTCTGTCCCTGGCAAGCTGGGACTGTTGGTCATCTTACACCGAAGAGCAAAAAAAGACCGAGACTGGGAGAACCATGCAAAGAAAAGGGAAGGACAAATGTTTAAAGCCTGAGCTGGTGTCTGAGCACCATGAACGTATTCCCTAAATGTTACGCCGCTCAGATCTAGGCCCCTGGGCTCATGCTTTGAAGAGTCCCGCTCTAGCTGTCCTCAAGCTGCACCTTTCTGCACGGGATGAGGAGTCAGGGGGCCGAGGGGGTATGCCCACCACAGCCCATACCACCTAGCTTGGACTAGGACAGGCCCTATGTGACCCTGAGAATGAGCCTCTCCTTAAATTTTGCACTCCAGATGCCTCACTTGCCTTACCTCGTCCTGGCCGTGGGACACCCCACTTCTAGACTGTGGTGTGGGGACCTGGACCTGGAATTCCCTGCTTCCAGGGCCCACAGGATCATCCTTCCATAGTGGACTGGCTACTGCTATGCCCACCCCAGGTGTAAGGGTGACAAGATGTGGCTCTGGGGGTGGGGCATGTAGGCGGAGCTTGGGCTCGTGGTCCCCTGTGCTGTGGGACAGTGAGGTTAGGGGCAGGAGATAGGAATGGGCCAGGGTGGGGAACCCCATGTGCTCTTCATTCACACCCCACACTGAGGGGCAGGCCTTCTCTAAAGCCTTCAGCCAGCTTGCGATCACCCCCCAGGGCTGTTGGGTGGGTAAAGAAGATTTAATTCAATTCCACAGCCCAGCACAAACTTCTCATTCCACAGTCCACCGCAAGGTGGAAGGTGAGAGGGAGCAGAAAATGCTGGCATGAGGAAAGTTCTTCTCTGCTCAAGGCCTGGGGAGGACGGACCTGCCACAGCCCAAACATGCCCCAGCAGGTAGCTGTTGTCTCTTTCCCTTAAGGAGCCTCCCAGCAAAGGCCGACCTCTCCACATGGGCGTGGCGCCATTTATGAAGGATTCCACGTGGGGCTTAGTTCCATGTTTGCTCCATTGTTTTTCTCACTGTTTCCCAATCCTGGTCAGCATTTGGCACACAGCTGTGGGCTCTACGGGAGCACCTGGCATACCCGCCATGGGGGGGGAGAAACCCAAGCAGGTGCCAGCAACAAGACCATCTCAGCGCTGGGAGCCCAGGAACCAGCCTTGATTTATGCCTAACATCTTTGCCCTCCTGAGTTTTCACGAAGATCTGGAAGGCAGTGGCTTTCCCAGCCTTTTCCAGCACGAGGGTGTCTTTGAACATTGGAAATTAATCTGTGCATACCCTTGTGATAATAGTTGCACCTTTAGTATCTTTGGAGAAAATATATGAGCAAGAATACAGGTTCTCAGACCCCTTGCAATAATTTTGCCTTTCCCCCCTCCTAAGGTCCGCAGTCCATAGATTTGGAACCTTCTTTAGCTGTTTACAGTATTTATCCAAACTCAATAATCCCATTTACTTATTTATGGCTCCTCAAAGATCTCTGTGTACCTATAGCTATATCTGTGTCTATATATATATCTATAATGAGCATCAAGTACACAATATTGGATTAATATAATTTGGGGTCTATGACATGCTCCCACATATGACCTTTGAATGTCCCACATTCACGTATGTATGCACTAGTAGGTGTATATTTTTAATAATAAGCCCCTGAGAGCCCACGACTCTACTCAAAAGCTAGGCGCTTTCCAGTAACTTACATGTAACTGAGTGGTTCTCCCCCAGTCTGTCCCCATGCTTTCCCCACCCAACCACCATGCCCAATCCTGTGTTGGTTGTTTCCTTGGTTTCTGTTTCATGTGCAGTTGTGTCTTCTCTATGCTCAAATTGTCTAACATAGCAATCACTTTCACCTGTGGAGTGCTCACTATGTGCCGGGGACCACACCAGCTACCTTACACCCCTGATCTCAGCTAGGTCCCACCCCAACTGTGATGGTAGCCATCCTTTATCCCCGTTTTCAGACGAGAAAGCTCAGAGAGGCAGGGTGACTCATCCAAGGTCACCTTGCTAGTCTTGATAAAGTGGGAATAGACCCAAGTCTGTCTGACGGCAGAGCCACAGCCAGCCCCTACACCGTCCCACTGTCTGAGCTCAGGCCATTAAGGGCAGCCGGCAGGGGGCGTGCTGTGCCAGTGACGTGAGGACCAGACAGCTTCTGGGAGTGAGGACTCTAGAAGGTCATCACACACGCAGGGTCTCATTCATGAGGTACAAAGGCCTGTGCTGGGATCATGGGGAACCCGCCATCTCTTGCACATCTCAGTGCACCCTGGTCTCTTCCTGGTGCTTTGGGGGAACTCCCTATATGTGGCAGCCGGAAGCCAGGGCAGGAGCTGACAAGGAGGCCAAAGCTGCAGCAGAAGCAAACCTGGAAGGAGCTCGCCTCTGAGTCCCCTTCTGTGGCTCTGTTGGGAGCTGGCTTCTTACACTACTTGTGACTGTTGTCATTTGACAGGGGTGTGCCAGCTACTTCTTGTCTGTGTCCTGTGCTGGACTGAAAGCCCCCTGGTTTTTCTCCCCATTGTATCCCCACCACATGGTAACTATGCGTAAATTAAATGGAAGAAGGGATTTTTGGTCTAGTAGATGGAGACAGGTGTGATAAATTTCTGCTAGACCTGGAGGTTGCCGTTCTCAGGGTATGAAGTGCCATGGACGTCCAACAGAGCGAGACTCCAGATGTCTGCCAGCCTCCCAAGAAGGTGGCATTGGAGTGAGAGATTGAAGGGTGGATAGGAGTTTTCCAGGCGGGGTGAGTAAGCAGGACGTGCAGGGGAGAGAACAGCGTATGCAAAGGCAGGGGGAGGGGGAGAGGAGCACTGACACCCCAGAGATGGCTTCTCATGGCCTCAAAGCCAGCATGTGCCACCAGGACACTGTCGCGGGCCTTGGCTCCTTGGAGGCAGAGCGGAGCTGACCTGAGACAGGATTTGATTGCAATTAACAGAGCCACGTGCTTCTAGGGACTCAGTGAGACTGGGCTGGGTGCTGGAGAAGCAGGGCCGCCTGTCGCTCAAGGTTCATGCTCTGGAGACAGACAGACCTCGGTCTGAGACCCAGCTCCTCCATCTCCTAGGTGAGGGATTGGGGCAAGTTAGTTCCCCGAGCCTTTGTCTTACCACCTGTAAACTGTGAATAGCAACTCTCTTAGAGGGTTGTCGTGAAGATTTGATGAGATGACAAGGAAAGCACGGACCACAGCACCTGGCACAGAATGAAGGACTGGGCTCTGAGTTTGGTTTCTTGGAAGTGACACCCTGGGCTCCCTCTGCAACCCAGACTCAGCAGGGCTTCCAGTCATTTGTCCATTCGTTCAGTGGTCATTTTTTCCCAACGGGGAGCAGAGTGCGCTGTTCCTGCCTCACGGGCCCCAGGTGTACCAGGGGAACAGACATCTTTCCATGATCTCCTAAGTCGATGTCAATGACTGCTCTGCGTACTGCTGTGGGGGAGGCGGTCGCCTGTGCTCTGAGAGTTTACAGTAGGAAATCGGACCTAGCCAGAGGGTCCAGAGCATTTCTGGAGGAGGTGACACTTAAGGCAGGATCTGAAGGAGCAGTTAACTAGACTAGGGGGTGAGGGGCATTCCAGGGACAGGGAACATCATATGCAAAGGCCCCGAGGAGGGGCCCAAGATGGTACACCAGAGGCACTAAAAAGGGACCCTAAATGAGCTAGACACACCCACCCAAGCTGCTCTGTCTTCCTCGTCACTGCCCTCTCCTCACCTGGCACCCAGAGTTGTCCCAAGTCCACTGGTCCTCATCCCAGAACACACAATGGGACAGGAAGGTGGTGATGCCAACTGTGAAGTCCCTGCCGGGGGTTGGCTCCAGGTCAGACTCGGGGATCACAGTCAGATAGTAGATACCCTCTCCAAAATGCAGGTCCTCTGGGTTCAGGATCCACGTGCACAGCTCATCTGCAGAAAAGGGGGCTCCATGTCAGCCTGAAGTCTCACGGAGACTGGGGCTAACATCAGGGGAGAGGGGGACCAAGTGACTTGACAGGGAAGCCAACCCTGATGGTCTGTCTCTTCTGACTCTGTCCCTTCTTGGCTGTGTGACTTTGGACCAGTTACTTAACCTCTCGGTTCTTATATTGAAAGTGGAGATTTCAATAGTCCCCACCCTCAAGAGTTGTCATGAGGATTTCAATGAGGTCAGTTCTGCAAGTGCTTGTCACCTTCTTTAGGGCATATGGTAAGTGTTCACCTAAAGTTGCTGAATAATAATAATAATAATATCAAAACAACAACATAAATAAGCACTAAATGTAGCAAGAGTTTTCTTTTTCTTTTTCCCTATGGCTTCTGATTCTCAAGTTTTAAGCTGGTCGCCTCCCCTAGGAAGGAAGGCCGCCTCACCCTAGGAAGCAGCTCAAGAAGCTGGCCCGGTGAGAGGACTACCTGGAGCAGCATTTGGTGGGAGGTGAGTTTTGGCGTCGTAGCTGGTCTTGTTGGGGTGGTAGCCGTAGCCCAGGCTCAGCGTGAGTGGGATGTCAGGTCTCCAGTGCAGCTGGATCCCCAAAGCCGCCCGCCCTGAAGTCAGGTTCACCCACACGGCTTCAGGACTGGTCAGGTTCAACACGGTCGGCTCGCTGTGTCCTTCTGAGAGCCGAGGCAGCAGGATCTGTCATCAGAAATGGTCAAATCAAGGGTGCGCTAGGATGGGAAGGCCAGCGAGCATCAGGGCTGCTGCATGGAGCTGGGCAGGGTGAGCCCCTGGGGAACTGAGATCCATGTTCTGCTGTGCTCATCCTGTGAGGGTCCTGGGGCTGCTGTAACCAATGACCACAAGTGGGTGGTTCACGTCGACACCAATTTATCTTACAGTTCTGGAGGCCAGAAGTCCAAAATCAGTTTCGTGGGGCTGACATCAGCAGGGCTGGTTCCTTCTGGGAGAGAATCCACTTCTTTGCCTTTTTCAACTTCTGGAGGCCACCCACATCCCTGGCTTATGGCCCATCCTCGCATCACCCTGACCTCTTGCTACTGTCATGAAATCGCCTTTTTCTCTTCTGGAATCAGCTTCCCCTCTCCCTCACTCCCATAAGGACCTTGTGATGACACTGGGCCGACCCAGATAACCCAGGATAACCTCATCTCAAGATCCTTAACTTAATCATATCTGCAAAGTCCCTTTTGCCACGTCAGGTGACATATTCACAGGCTCAGGGATGAGGGCATGGACATCTGGGGGGCCTTTATTCAGCTTATCACACTTATCATGCTATGCACCCTGGCTCAGGGCTGCATCTGCATAGAAAGACGGGAGACTTTTTCTAATCTGTATAAAGATGCCATGTGCATTCTTGGCGTTGATGAAAGTGTCGAGCCAGTACGTGTAAGTTCGGAGCACAGGCACTAAGAGGCAGAGAGACTCCTGTTTGGGTCTTGGCTCTGCCCTATAATAGCTCTGGGACCTCCAGCCAATTAACAAACCACTTTGAGCCTCAGTTTCTTGTTATCGAACACACAGACTCATTGAGAGTATTAAAAATGATATTGCATGCAAGATGCTTAGCCAAGTGTCAGATACACAGTAACGCTCAACAATTGTCGCTGTCGCTACTCTGACAATTCTCATAACCACTCTCCATTTAATCAGTTCTCCAGGTTAACCGATGCTCTCCATTCCCTTTTAAAACAGACTGATTGATGCCCACTATGCACTGTTTGTTTGCTCCTAGTAGCTCTCTATGGTAGACTCGGGAATGCGTCACCCAGCTCCCCGTTCCAGGAAGGACCTGCTGCTTGGTCATGGGGATTGTGGTCAGCAGACGGGTTCCGGCTCTCAGCTCCTTCAGGGTCTGCCCCAGCTGCAGAGACTCGCCTCACCTGAAGGCACTCCTTTCCTAGGGCCACCTGCTTCCAGTGACTGAGTGAGGGGCGGTATAAAGCCCAGACATATTAGCCTCCTGCAGGCCACTCGTCTCATTTGTACCCATGGGACTTTAATTTATGGAGGTGACTAAGTGACGACATGGAGAGGTCAATGCCATGGAAAGAAGAATTTATTTCTTTCATTTCCTGAGAGGAGGAGACCACCGTGCCACACAGGGCCACAGGGGAAGCGCCTGGCAGGAGGCAGAAGCAGGCGCAGGGGAAAGCCGTGGCCTTTATTGGGGTTTCCAAAGGAAAGGCAAGACAGGGCAGAGTAAACCACTAGGCCAGTCAGAATAACTGTGCAGGCTTCAGCTGTAGGGTGGGCTCTGGCTGCCTGGTGCCCGCCCCTGGGATGACTTCAGGCCAGGGAAACGCAAGCTTGGTGTGTGGGACTCAGATTAAGGGGGATTGGGGATTGGTTGGTTTGCGTATGCAAGGCATGCCCAGGCAGAGCGCTTTGCTATCTCTAAGGATTGGCTGGCCCTGGGAGGGGCAGTCTCTCCCCGGCCAGCAAGATTTTTATGATATCCAAGCATCGTAAGATACAGAAAATAAGAAACACGATTAATGCAACCCTGGCGGCTAATACTTGCTGCAGAGCCTCTCTCTGGGTGGACCAAGGCCTGTGAGGTCTGGATTGAAGTCTCATTCCCCCTTCTGCCCAATCCTGCCTGCCTTCCTCACTCTTCACAGGTGTTGATCCCTACAAACATCTTGCTCAGCAAACTCTTTCTCAGCACCTGCTTACGGAGCACCCAGCCTGTGACGTCTTCTCTACAGTAACCCTAGCCACTCCCTCCTGCCAGTGGAGTTGTCTGCTCACCAACGGGCAGCGGTGTTTGATCCCAAACCTACTTACATCTGTTGTGCTTGTGATTGTAAAGGCCAACTTTACGATATATTTCATAGAGTGACATAAAATGACAAAGTAGGAGTGGGAAAAGAAAGAACTATTTGCATAAAAACTTAAGTTGAATGCATTGAGAAGACGATAGAGTTGCTAAAAATTATTATGGAATTAGTCATTGATGAGAAAACGGTAGATTAGGAAAAAAATCATTAAAATCTCGAAAGAATTCGAACTCATCTTGCACCATGGTGTGCTTATATTTTTGCTTGACCTTAAAGAAAATCTCTCTGGACATTTTAGGGCTATATTATGAGGGTGGTTTAGGTAATGCAGATGATTAAAATTTCAATCAACAGATTTAAAGAAACTTTTTGGTTGTACACCCAAAGTTTGACAATGATATATTTATAGTTTTAAGTGAAATGTAATGTTTAAGATAGGGTAAGGCACGTTTTTAATGATTCTCCTCTTTAATCATTTTTTTTTCATAACCCACCAACATTTGGAACCAACCAGGTGACTTCTGACAGCACCCCCAACTTCTACCTCAATATTCTCTGACAGATTCTTCACGGCTATGAGCTGTCCACTAGGACTGGTCAGAGAGAGGCCACCGACAGTTCCGCTGACATCAAAGTGACCTCGGGCCGGGAAGGGGCTCTTTGGGAAACTCATCATCTGAAACCAAGAACAGGAGTGTTGGCCAAGACCTCTGAAGGCTGGAAGACGACTGGGTCCCTATGTACATCAGGAAATTTCCCAAGGTGGCATGGACAAGTGGCCCCTGCCCTTTGGTGTGAATGGAGGCCCCGCCTTCAGCTGTGACTGGCTTTCCTGGCGTGCGTCTGCCCTTCAGGGCTGTGGCCTCAGAGAGCTGGGCCTGGAGAACCGAATCAGACTTGCTTCAGGGCTGGTTACGGGGTTGTAAGACAGCCCAAGCCTTTCTTCCTGGCAAAGCCGGCAAGTCTCTAAGAGACAGATGTTTGTCTACTTTTGTTGGAACTCAAGGAACAGAGAGTCAGATGTGCCCTAACTTGAGAATGGAAAGAATCCTGGGTTTGTTGTTTCTAGTTACGGAAGGAAGTCTGAAGAGCTTCCTTTCCAATGACTAGTTGAACCAAGGCTGCTGGAGAAATTCCACAACACCGTGGAAAGAGGATGGATTTGGGAGTCAGAAGGCCTGGGTCTGAATCCCAGCTGTGCCACTTTGCTTCTGGCCTCGGGCAAGTCACTGAACCTCATCTGTAAAATGGGCATAATAATACTGGGTCATTGACGGGGCTGTTGTCTACATAAATGAGCAAACGCATGTGAAAGTGCTTTGCAAACTGTAAAGGACCTTTCCCAAGGAGGTTGTTCCTGTTGTTACCCGTATGTCCACAGGCTCCTGACCGTCCTCCGTGGAGCCGAGGGAGGACGCGGCAGGCAGGGTGAAGGTCACAGAGCTAGCAGCAGCAGTGTGCACAGAGGAGCCTCGCCAACTCCAGGGCTGGATTCTGGCCACAAGGTGAGAGCAGAGGCACCGGGGGCAAGAGGAGAAAGTCGGTGTCAGAGGAAGGCCCGCACACCTCTTGTACTACAGGGAGCCCCACGTTACCACCAGGGGGGCGGCTCTATTTCCATCCCTGTAGGTGGCCTGCATGTTTATGTCAGGAGGAGCAGCATAAAGGGCAGCTGACACCCCCTACCCTGCGCTGAAGGCTCCATGAGCCCAGGGCTTTTGCTGGCTTGCTTTCCTGCTGCACCTCAGCGCCCAGAACAGTGCCTGGGACACAGTGGGGGTCAATATATCATGGGTCGAGTGAATAAATGAGCTTTGACATAGACATTTCTCCAGGCTCATCTCCCCTACCTACTTGATCTCTGATGTCCTGGGCTCCCAGCCCCATCTTTTCTGGCCTTTGGCCTTGTTCTGTCTGATTGGGTTGGGGACCTGGTTTCAGATCCTAGCTCTGATCAGGATGCTGGTTTGGGAAACTGCCCCTGGGACCCACGAGGGCAGCCCTGGCATGAAGAACCAAGGAAGGACGTTCAGTGTGCGGCCCCCATGGTGCCTGCAGTGTGGTCCAGCACCTGCTTGTCAGGGGGAGGAAGGGGAGGTGGAGGGCATCCCCAGGTACTGGGTACTCAGTGAGAGACAGGCACTCCACGGAGAAACTCCTAAGGCAGGTGCACCTGGAATCCCCATGGGTCCACGCAGCGATGGGCGTGCCCAGACACACCCAGGTGACATTAAAAGTGGGCGGGTCCCCTTCATCAGCCCCTCGCCTGCAGAGCTCCAACATGACCCATCTCTCGGGACTCATGGCTGGCTCTGACACTGGGCGTGGCACTCACTGCCTCCCTTCCGGTGCTGTACAAATACCCAATACGAGGGCCTTCTCTCAGTGACAAGCCCTTCCCACTTCCAGGTCCCATCATTTCTCCCACCCCAAGGCTGGTCCCCTAGCCTGTCACGGGGTCTTGGGATATGGGTGTGGAATGAGCCAGGTCAGGGGATGGCTTTCTTGGGGACCCACAGTACAGCTGGTTACCTGTTTGTGTACACGGAAATGGATGGGGTGGCGAGCATGGCTGGAAGGCCCCCAGGCAGTCTCCCCAGCAGGAGGGCAGCCTGCACACGCTCCACAGCTCCGAGCAGCTGGGCCACTGTGGCTGTCTGGAAAAGGAAGCGGGGGATACCACTGCAGACCCGTCTCCGTACACCACCCTCGGTTACTGTCACCA